CAAACACTGAAGACATAATTCTAACATTAAGTTATCAGGAACATTTAAGGACTCTGCTCGACATTTTATGTTCCTAAGCAAATCAAAAGGTGTTTCAGAGTCTAATTGCTCTCCACATAATAATTGGCAAATTTCTTGCTGAGAAGAATCTCCTGATCTGTTTATTAACTCAGTTTTGAGCTTTGTATAAGGATTAGTAAGATCTGTTTCATAAGTAAATCTAGAACGAATTACTCAGTATCTTGAGAAAGATGAGAAAATAGAAATTAATATTGAGTACTTGGCTTCATGATAAGTTTGGGGGTGGCGTGGGCAAACATAGTTTCACTTTCAGCCACCGTGGGTGCTAGATGATCTGCTATCACTATCACCACACTCTGAACATAATTGCCAAGTAGCAGACTTCTTGTAACAAGAAAAAGTGTTATCTGATATTGATTACTGAGAAGCCAATTTTTTTTCTTTGTGTGTATGTGTATACAAACTTGTCCAAGTCTGTTTGCAGCAATTCCAGATTTCTGAAATTCCAGATTGCATAGCATAGCAACTATGTGTCAAAAATCTTTTAATTACATAATGCTAATGCTTGTCTTCCAAATATTGCCTTCAAAAATGGGTGACATTAATTGAATATTTCATAAAATATTTTTATTTTTGGGTATGTAAAGATAAGTTTGGACATATGCATATTTTTTAAAATAATCAAGGCATCTATAGGAAAAAGGGCATTATAGAAATTTCTGGAGAAATTATAACATTTCTGATGGTATCAGAAGCATCAGGGTGTCATCAGGTTAAGTCAAGCTGACATCAATGAATGTCGTTTGATGGACCCTGCTCAGAAATAGTATAAAAATCGTTCAAAAAGAACAATGACTGATATGGTTTTTCAGTTGACACAAAAATTACAGCAAGCGATGGAGGTTTGTGTGCAACTGGCAGAGCAGTAGAGTTACAAATGAATAACATTTATGTTAACAAGTTTCTTTCGATTCATCATGAAAAGTTACTAATGGTGATCTTATTCAGTTGAATTTACTCTGAGATTCCAAAGAATATATTTTGCTGATTGAACTGCCGATTTAAAAAATTCAGAATAAAAGGACTAACTGCTATTTTTAATTTGATACATATGCTAGTAAAATTAGAATCAAAGGATGCAAATGTCAAATAGTTTAACCCTTTTGAGATGACACACGTTCGTTTAAGACTTTCCCTTGGGATGGATGGGAGTTGAAAGGCATTGTCTCACAGGACAGAGGTTTTGTGTCCATAAGCCTAATTTTAGAAAGAAAAAATCGCATATACACAAAAAGTTTATTTAGTACTGTGTATTTACACAAAAGTATCATAATTTTTGGTGCTATTTTAGATTATTACTTAAGCTATGATATATGATAAAATTAGTTTTTAATAAATCTTTTTCCTCTACTTTAGTTGAAAATATGTATAAAAATTTGTTTACTTTGAGAAATAATTTTCAGAATGTCTGTTCAAATTAGTCCAAAATTTTAATAGATAAAATACATTAGTAACCTTTTAAATTAATAAAAATATACAAAAAATTAACAAAATCTTTCACACAAAATGGAAGGCAGACACTTAGTAAGTTCAGATTCTGACAAAATCACTAGAAATATTGCTTTCTAATAATTCTTTAGAAAATGAATCATCACTCTCATTTCTGACTCTAATTGGCTCATTTACAATACGAGTATATCATTCATTTGTAACGCTTGCTCCCCATAATAAACTGAAGTCAAGGCTTTCCGAAATAAAAAGAGAAGTAATAAAAAGAGAAGTATGTAATATGAGCAATACAAGCAATGCCAAGTGAAATAGAACCTCACATAGTAACCCTAAAAGACCCTAGTAGCAAAAGAAAGAATAAAAAAAGGATTCGAAATGATATCAGAAATACGAAGGTTTATATTAGGAGGCAAGTTAAAGAGACAAGCTCTATCTGTTTACATTTCCTTCCCTGCAACAGCTGATACCAGTGTTATGTAGAGTGTGAATAAATTAAAGGCCAGGATCCTAAAACTATATTTAGTTCAAAAGTAATGGACACAGGATGCTATCTAGTGGTCTTTAAAACATTCCAGGACACTGGCACAAATGTGTGACAGCCGGGTGTGAATGAGAAAATTTTCTGGTATGCCAGGCCAATGTGCCAATCCGTGTTTCTTGTTGGCACATATGCATAGAATGTTAGCAACCATATCTGCTCTGTTATGTCTAGTTACAAGGCCATTTGTAATGAAAAAAAAGTATGCAACCAAACTAACTATACCCAAGAAAACATCTGCATTTCTTATTTTAAATGTACTGTAAAAATATATTACCTATTAATTATTAATTATTATAGTAAATAGAGAGAAAAAACACATTAAAATGCATGCAGAGTAAACTAAATTAGGCGATGTAACGAGTTAGATTTACTCGGTGGTGTTCGATCATTGTCATTATGTCTCGTCAAGGAATATGTATTGTTAACGGAGGAACAGCCAGCATTAGCTTGAAGGGCTATTTTCTTTACGCACCATAAACCACAATCAAAGTTTCAGATCATTTGGTTGTACTTCGCAAATGATCAAAACATTGTACGACAAAAAATTTGCACATGCAAGGACAAAAACTGAAGCAATTATTTGTAATGGTTTTGCACCATATTCGTTTTCACAATTGTAGAAAGAAGTAGATAAATGCATATTTGTATCCATATATTATGATGCTTCCAACCACAAAGATTTAAAATTATTTCCCACAAATGTTAGAATTTTTTATCTAGAAACAGGAATTAAAATCTGAATATTAGATTTTGTTTCATTGCCAAGTGAAGCTTCATAAGTATTATTTAAAAAAAGAATAATTTGAACAATAAAATTATTGCCCATTGAACAATAAAATTATTGCCACTAACAAAAATTTTGGTGGAAAAGCTAGAAGAGGCATCAATAACGTTTTTACAAAACTTAAACGAACGTTTGAACAAAAAAATTATTTGAGTAGGTTATGCAGCCCACATTCTGCACAATTCTATTCAAACAGCATCTGACTTACTTCCAGTGGATGTTGGAAATATTATTAAAAACTTTTATTCGTAATTTTATATATATACTGTACGTGTTGAAAGTTTGAAGGATTTTTGTGAAAGCGCAGAAACCAAATATAAAAGAATTATTGGTTACAGCAAAACATGATGGCTAGCTCTTTTACCAGCTGTAGAAAATATTTTAAAATATACGAACCATTAAAATCATACTTTTTATCACAAGGTCCAAGAAGGCCAAGAATATTGCAGTTCTTTTTTAGAAATGACACATCACAAATTTGGCTTCAGTTCATCCACATCCAAGCTACATTATTTCACAATGCTGTGAAAATTATTGAAGGGGACAAAATTTCAAATACGGAAGTGTCAAATGAAATCAATAATTTAAAAACAAAATTTCGAGAAAGAATTGATAACAATTACGTTCCATTAGTTATTTGAAAGGACATCACTGGGATGGAAGAACAAGGTGCCATGAAATGACCTGATTTTCTGAAAGAAGTCAGAAATTTTTATAATAACTGCTTGGAATATCTTGAAGAATGGATAGTTCAATTCAAGGATATTAAAAACTTTCATTGTGTGACATTAAAAAAGGAGATTTTAAGGGAATATGTGGAATCTTTTTAATATATTTGTAACCATTTTCCAAAAAATAATATTTGCAAAAATTATCTTTTTGATGAGGTGTATTGGTAAAAAGATACGTTACTGATGAAAAAATTAAATGTTGCTTGTCTGCAAATGTGGAAACAAACAAACAAAAAAAAAAAAAAAAAAAAAAAAGAACGGAGTTATTCCTTCACTTTAAAAACTGAATAATATTCCTTATAAAAATATTTTGAAAATTGTAGAACACGCGGTCTCCCTTCCAGGAACAAATGCAGTAACAGAACGTGTTTTTCTAGTATCAATAAAATATGGACAATTGAAAAAAACGCAGTTGAACATTAAAACTGTAAAATCTGTACTAAGCCTAAAATATAATTTGACCAATTCGTGTAAGAAATTTCATGACATTTTAATAAATGATCCGAATCTATTGCAAAGTATTCACTCGGATAAAAAAATAAACTGTGAAAGAAAATTATAATTTTTTAAATAAAATATTAAATTAATTAAAAAAATAATATTCAAATTATTGTTTTTTACAAATATTTTTATAATTACCAATAGTTAATAATAAATGTAGTTCTGTATAATTATAGACAAGTATATAAATATATACAATAATATATATTTTTTTGAATTATTGGTCTGCTTTCATAAATAAATTAGAATTCTAAATTCATTCTATTTGTCTCAAGGAAAATGTGGTCACTTTACCCATGTTCAAAAAGGAATGCTGGAACAAATGCAGTTTTTCAAAATGGAAATTCTTATTTCAAGTTGAATTTTAATTAATTAGCAGTAAATATAGAGTTTTATCATTTGGCAACAATTTATATCTGTACTGATTGCCTCTGAGGCATGACTGTAATTTGAAAATGTTAGTTTGCAAATTTTTGTACTTTAATTGTAAACAAAATTTGATAAAGAAAATAATTAAACTCTATTACTTGTGTTTCAGTAAATAATGTATTTGGTCTGTACAAAAAGGCAGTGCAGTTACTCTAGTTTTTTTAATGTACAGATAGGCTGTGACCTCAGTTAATCTGGAATTTTAGAATGCTATTATATTTATTTTATGTACGATACCTTTAAAAATTTTTTACTATATGAATGCATTACTTTTAGTAATGTGATTAGCCTGAAATAATCTGCATTTTGACATCACAGACTATATTAGATTTCCCATTCTCATACATATGCAAAGTGATGAGATCACTTAAAAATGCATTGTCTCTTTGAATTATTGGTTGGTTTCATTTTGATTATGAATTGTGTATAAAATGTACTTTAAACTGGGTAAAAGTCTTTCATTAATTAATTAATTTATTTTTAGGAGCAACTGACCAACAAGTATGAAATTTCATCATCAAGACTTGAATGTTATGTCTCCTACCCACCATCATCTTTTCCATTCCATGTGTTTTTTGAGACTGTTCAGAAAGATTTACCATTGCCTGTCACAACTACTCATTATTTAGAAACCATTATTTCTAATCTTAAAGTGATACCTGATTATTACCAGAAAATTACCTTGACATATTCATTGCCTGAGACTGATCCTTTATTGAGTAAGTTGCGTGATGCTCAAAATAATTCTAATAAGGATGAATACAGAAATAACGATTAACAGCTTCTGTTTTCAGAGTGGACTTGATTTTCATTTTTTATCATTAATGGCTGATAAATTAATTTAATGTGTGATACTAAAATGATGTTCTGTATGGTTATTGGACATAAAATATGTTTTTTCAGCATGGATTTGACAAGTTCTTTTTATCACTTTTTTTTTAACACTGTAATTGGTTTCTCTTGTTTGTAATTTTTAAGAGTGAAACTGTGTCAGAAATGGTAGTTGTAAAAATTCGATTCTGTGCAAGTTAAAAATATTTGTGTTTGATTGTTAATCAATAAACCCTGAAATATATACACGAAAAACCATTTTGAATACTCCTCTTGTCTCCTTTACCCTCTAAAAGGAAGGCAGAACTTCTCATGTGAAGTTTGAGATTGCCGGCTAAATCTTTAAAGCATAAATATTATGCAAATTACTTAAAATCAAACTACAATTCAACTCATTAAGTATAAAAGCTGCTGCATTTCATTTTTGAAATGTAAAACAGTATAAATAGAAAAATATCAAACTGTTAAAAAATGGGTACTGTGTTTAAAAATAGTGTATTCTGTAGATCACTTTTGACAAATAAAAATTGTCGCCAAAGAGTGTGATTTGGGGCAAGTAATGAAGGAGCACGACATCACAAGAAACAAAAATCTTCCCTTCAATTTTATGTACCTGTGATTATCAGTAATGTAGTTTAGTTCTAAAATATACAAGTAAACTGTTATTTAAAAATTTTCTCTTGCATTTTGAAAAAAATCATTAATTTTTTTTTTTTTTTTTTTTTTTTTTTTTTTTTGTTTTGTGTGTGTGTGTGTGTGTGTGTGTGTGTGTGTGTGTGTGTATAGGCTAGGTAGCAGTAAAATTTTTTATATTGATGTGCGTATTCAAATATTAGTCTGTAAGGGTTCATCTAAATGGTGCTGTAAAGGATAACATTTAACTGCAGGACATGATTTAGATTCATGTTTAAGTGAATTTATGTAGGGTTGATTTCATAAAGGTTGTAATAATTTTGTGGCTGTTTAAACACTATTAGAAATTTTTTATTGCCAAAATGATTAACACTTGATGTAATGAATTTATTTGTCAGAAAATCTCAGAGCTCATACTTTTTTAAGATCTTTATATGCTATATTCAGAAGTTAAATCTGTTGATAATGTAATTAAATAAAAAGCGATCTGTGATTATCTAATTAAATAACAAATGATCTGCTCCTTGGAACTTCTGCTGCCAGCTTTCATGGTCAACAGAAAATTATGTAAATATTTAATTGTTTGAACAAATAATTAAGATTATATGTATATTCATAGAGGTTTGAAATATATGTTACTACAAAATTAAGCATTTTCACCCATTTGATATTTTTTTGATGCAGAAAATAATGCATGCAATAAGTAAAATTAGAATTTTTGAATTGATCTATTATAGAATGTTAGAAACTCACTGTATTTATGATGTTTCCTGGTATAAAAAAAGAACTGTTTAAAAAATTTTAAGAAATACAGATAGAATGATTTTGTGAAAGATTCAATAAAACTGAGTAGCACATTTTTATATGGAAGATCTAACATATCACATTGAGAACAGTGTCTGTTTGTGAATTTTATTGCAAATTTTAAACAATAACACTTTGAGATGCTGAAAAATTTATTAATGGTAAGATAATTTTTTAATGAACATTTACAATGTTTCTTTCTTTTTTTTTTTTTTTTTTTTTTTTGCGTTTTACGTGCTCCCGCCCTTAGGCACTACATGGAAAGGGAGGGAAGTCCTGTGGAGGTCTTTTTAAGGAAACTGGCTCGTATCCATGTTACACATGGGGAAAACCACAAAAACGCACATGCAGCCAGCCTGTTTGGCAGGACTCGAACCCCGGATCGAACTACCAGTGTTCAGCGGCTTTTACCGCTCGGCCGCTGGTGGACCATGGTTATGATTTTGTAATTTATTTTAAAGAAAAGCTCTTGCAGACAGAGTTTGAAACTATTGAAACTCAAATTTTATAAATTATATAAAAGCAGATAGTTAACAAAAATTAGCCGTGAGTAATGTACTACCAAAAAGCAGAAGTAATGTATAACATATAATTATTTTATAAAAGGATTTGACTTTACCATAGTTTTTTACATCATTTGCAGAGAATAATCTTTATTATTTGCATCTTTTTGATGATGTTTTTATTCTATTTTCTAAAATTCTCAGAAGCTATTATTTTTAATATACATACTGGATTTTCCAACTTTTTTCATTTAATAATTTGTTGTCATCAACAATTTTTTTTCTTTTTAATTTGAATAATTTTGGTTTGAATATCAGATATTAAGAATGCTGTAATAGCATGTGAGGATTTCATTTACTGTTTACAGTGAAAGTGTACATGAAATTTAAAATTTGATAAAACATGTACACTATCTTCAGGTTTCTTAAATCATCGTGAATCACCTAATGTGATTTCAAAGTTAAAGTTTAATGAAATAATTTCTTCCCATTACTGAATGAACTATTGAAAAATCTCTTTAAAATACAAAATGTATTAGTTAATTCTTTGGTGTAGTGTTTCAGATTAATTACTAAGAGATTTATATTAATATATCATAAAATTAAAATCTCTGATATAAGAAGTACATGCAGAAGAACAGAAACTTTATAAGAAGAACAGAAACTTTAGTTTTTGACTGTCGGGTTTTGCATAATGTTTTGCAAAAATTAGCAGAAAATAATATGACCTAGACTGCTTTATTAACACATTGGCTGATAATGTAACTAAATTTCTGGAGTTATGTCTTCCAAAAATTTGTCATCCAAACATTCCCTCAGCTGAGTATATAGCAGTATGTTAATTTGTAATAAAAGTATTATGGGCTGATTTTTACTATCTACTGAACATTTAAGTTTCATAGTTAAATGATATCAAAAATGATATTTTTAAAGGGCAAATTTAAGCCTTTTTTTATGATTCAATTTTAATAATTATTATGAATAACAATGTTTTGACTGTTTAAGGTATTATTTATGTATATAAATACTTTAATTTATCAAGTAATAGCTGTAATGGCTGACATAGAATGTTATTTAAGTAAAATGAATTCCTGATTAATGGGAGTAATCCAGATGATATATATGGTTAACCCAAAATTGCGGATAATATGAGAACAGTTGGAAAAATATTAAGAAGTGTATTAACCCATATAATTGTTAATTAAAAAAATTCAGGCAGTTTAATCTGGAGAATAAGTCTATATAGTTGCGCAAATCAAATATGTAATAAAACAAGGAAGAATAACTGTCATTAGAAATGAAGAAGTTACAAATGGCATAATAGAACAATATTTACAAAAGAACTTGAAAAGTGTCATTGAATACAAAATTGAATAAAAAAAAAGTTTGCTAGAACTTTTTGTTTTTTGTAGTGTAGTGTTTATAAAATCAAGATTATATACAATTAAATTATACACTATTTTAAATAAAAAATTACCATATCATCGATTATTACTGCTGTCATCCCATACATTTTTTCTTTTCCTTTCTGAAGATAGTTTTATTTTACACTGTTAGTTTGCGATAATAGTTTTCCTTCATTCTGTAACAAAATTTAACTTTCTAAGATAATGCTAATTTATGCCCGATTGGGAGTTGATTGTATATAGTAGCCTGATAAATAAAAATGTTTTTTAGGCAAGCTTTCTTTTTTTAAGTATTCTTTTGTCTTTTATATTTAATACTGGCAGTCTACTCTTGAATCTTGTATGTGATGTGCTGCTATTGTAATAGCTAAGAGAAAGGTTTGTACCGCACTGATAAGTGTATCTTGTATTTGTAGCTGTGTTTATTAAACACAAATAATTATATTACATATATATGTATGTATTGTGTATGGAAAAGTTGACTTAGTCAACAGTTTTTTGTGTGAGTGTAAATACAATAATATAGTGTGGCATAGTATGCATTAGAATGGAATTTCAGCATTCCCTTTCTTTTCTATACAGATGATGCAGATTGTGTTAGTGATCTCACATACTTTTGTTTTATTTTATGTGTATAAAACATTTATCTGTGTCTATTGATTTTTTGGGCCTGTTTATATATTATAATTTTCGTCAAATACATTAGATATTTTCAGTATGTATGGATTATCAAATTGTAAAATGTCAAATTCTGATATGATTCAAATTCTGATTCTGAATATTCAATATATTCTGCAGTCAGTTACTCTGAAATAAATCATATCTAGAAGCTGTTCATTTACATACCCACAACCACATTCTTATCCTTTTTACAGGCAGCCTTCTGTTGACTGGCAATCTTTTATTGAAAACCTGTATCTTATGTTTTTTGTATACTGATTAAGTATAATTTTTGTCTCTTTGTATTATGAAATCATCAGTTAGTTAATGAACTTCCAAAAAATCTACGAGGAATTATTTAAATCCTTCGAAATACAAATATATGAGGGAAAAAACAGTATCTATAAAAATATGTCTCTATTAAAGATTTTAGATTTATATTTAACCTTCTTCATAAAAAATGTAAGTTAGTAATTTTGTGATAATTTCATATTTTTCTTGTCTTTCTGTATAATTTGTAAAATATATGAACAATATCTCTTTTTCTATAATTAACACATTTGCCTCACCTGTTTTTGTTTCTTCACAGATTAATAAGATACTGCATATGCTTAGGAAATTCCGTTGGTGCATAAGAATCAGATTTTTTGGGGAGGTAGACAGTCTTATTTTAGATAGTGTTACTACTTCAGGAAAATTGTAGTGTGCTGGTTATTAATACTGAAAAGGATCTGAATCAAAATGCATAGTAACTTAAAAAAGTTATGACATTTAATGAAATAACTTTTGAATATGGCCATGTTAAATGAACTATTCTGCCATTATGCCCAAGTGCTCATATATTTTTTGAAACATTTTTGAATTCATTTGTTGGTGGATTGTTTTGTAGCATTCTGTAAAATTGCACCCATAGGGTTATAGTCTCATAAATATTGCCTCTTTAAGAGTGTTTTCTTAACTGGTCAACTTTTAAACTAGAAAGTCTGATTAATAGAGGAGAATGTGGAAGCAAGTTCTTTTACCATGTTTACTTTGAATAAGATATCAATGATACAATGGAATATTATGTTTAACAGGACCTTAGATGCCTGATGTTCCATGCGCTTTACATGAATTTGTTTTCTCACATTGTTTCAAATTCATCACTCTTAACATTCACTGTTTGTTTATCATAGCACTTATGGAAGAAATGATAATTAATAACTTTTTAACTGAAAAACAAATCCTTGTTAAATTTTTAACAGTCTAT